CGACGACAGCCAAGTGCTATTTCTCTGAACAGTCCCCAGCCGCCATCAGGCCCCCACCAGGACACCAGCAGCTCCTGCAGGATTCCTGGAGAAAATGGGCCAGCCGGACAGGCCCCTCTGCTTCCTGTCCCACCCAAAGGGAAAAGTAGCTGAGTGAACAAGGACAAAGGTCCCTCCAAAGACAGCTGGCTTTGAGTAGGAAGGCGGTGAACTAGTCACAAGAAAGCCAAATCAATCGACCACACTTTCAACCAGGTTGATTTCTGGAGCATCTTTCTGGCTCAGGCATGGAGCTGGGGCGTAGGGCCACAAAGATGAGCAAAACAAGTCCCAACTATGGAGGACAGTCTATCTCTCTTAAGAGTTAAGCCACACGCTCGAGAGGGGAAAACAAGAGGGGTCGCCATAAGTGATGGGTGTTGAAACAAATGTTCGCCCGGGGTGAGGGAGGGGGGCTCTGGTAACAGTTGCGGCGGCGGGGGGGGGGGGCCACGGAGGACGTGACCCTGACCTTGGCTATAGACAAAGGGAGTAGAATCTCCATGAGCCAGACTGGGACAAGCAGAGGAAAGAGAGAGCCGGGGAGATCAGGAGGACACCGGGGTTTGGCAGGGCCGCGGTCCCGCAGGCCAGGGAGTGGAGAGCAGGAAGGCGTCGCCAGGCCCTGGAAACAGGGTCCCACCTGCCGTTCTGGGGTGTCCGGGCATCGATCAACCACCACCCCAGGCGCCTCACCAACACTTCCCGGACATTTCAGAGATGAGCTGGAGGGGGACAGGAAAACCCATTTCTGCTCAAGAAGCTTTGCACTAACACAAAGTGAGGCTCCCCCCGCCCCGGGATCAGTAAGAAGCCCGCGGGGAAGTGGGCCCCAAGCAGGAGCCTGTGTGAAGGGGAAGGGAACCGACGGCCCCAGCGGCTCAAAGGGCGGGAGACGCACACGGGAAATGAGGACTAAGCTTCCACCCGATGCTTCACCCTAAGAAGGAGCCACGAACGCCCAAGAGCCTCCGGCGGTGGGTGGTCTCTACCTTGTGCTGGCGGTGGTCCTCACTGTCAACACCGAAGGCTCAGGAACAGCTGGGGCGTCCTCTGCACACGAACATCTCTCCCGCGTGGCTCTAGCCTCCACGCACAGACTCCCTGGGTGAGTCCAGCCCACAGGCCTTGGCTCCACCCCTTCCCACAGTGCCCCTCGGTGAGTCCAGCCCACAGGCCTCGGCCCCACCCCTTCCCACAGTGCCCCTCGGTGAGTCCAGCCCACAGGCCTCGGCTCCACCCCTTCCCACAGTACCCCTCGGTGAGCCCAGCCCACAGGCCTTGGCTCCACCCCTCCCCACTTCCCACAGTGCCCCTCGGTGAGTCCCAGCCCACAGACCGTGGCCCCACCCCTTCCCACTTCCCCTACTTTGCGTGTTTTGTGATTTACCTTTTCTTCGTTTTGACACTGGTTCGCAAGTGTTTTACCGTTTTCCCCAAATCTAACACTAACCTGTGGACACCCTCTACTTCTGTAGCTATGGCCTTATCCGTTCCGGGAGCTTCTCGCACCACAGAGAAGATGTCTCCGTGGGACCCTACACAGCGCATGCTTCTGTTCAATTCTCCCGCTCAGTTCCTGCGATCAGGGGCACCCAAGTGGCTTCGGGAGCTAGCTCCGAGCGGGCACTCAGGAGCCAAAAAGGAGCTTCTAGTAGAAAGGGGTTTCAGGCTAGCGCAGGGTATGGACCCTTGTGTCTTGGATTCTTTCTCAAGTGTATTTCTTTAGTCCTGTTAATGACTGTTACCAGGATCTCAGTGCTGCCCAGGACCCCCCAGGGACATGTAACTCTCTCCGTCTGAATGAACAGGCACACGTGATAAGGTGTGACTGCCCAGGCTCCAGGAGAAAGGGGGACACAGCTCCCATCTTGCCCTCGCTCTGTCCTGGGGGGCTCACACCTGCCACTAACTGCCATGTGGTTGGAAGTTCAGGCCACGTGGACAGACACGGTTAGGAGCCCCAGATCCAGCACCAGGCAGGGCCCTGCTGTGTCCAACTACCCAGAAGGAACTGAAGGACACTGAAGGAACTTCTATCCCGGCTAACGCCAATGGGGACCGAGACAAGCCTTCTGAGGGCCCTTGTTCACACTGCAGATGGTGAACACGGCGAACGTGAGGATATGAAGCCAATGCATTTGGGGAGGCTTGTCACACAGCAATAGGTAGCCACCTTTGAGCAAGTCACATTCCCTCGGCTGGGGCTCATTCCCTACATGGGAAAGGCTGGAGCAGAACATGATCCCCGAGTCCTCCCTTTGCCCTGATTGCCAGTGATCCCGCACAGGTGCACACGACAGCCTCCCCTTACGGGGCTGCTGTGCCAAGGCAGGGAGCCCAAATCAGTGCGGTTCATCCCCACCAGACACGGGAGGAGGACAGCAAAGGAGGAACGTGGCCTCGCTATGGTTCCCTTTCCTGCGTGGGGGAGAGGGTGCAGATATCGTTATGGGTAGAATCCTGTCCCCCCAAATATGTTATGTGGAGTCCTGACCCCAGGACTTCAGAACGTGGCCTGATTTGGGAATCGCATCTTTATAGAGGTCACCATGTTAAAATGAGGTTCTTAGGGTGGGACTGGTGCCCTTACTGAAGGGGAATAGGGACCCAGATAGAGCTGCACAGACAGACGGCCCGGCCAGCACTCAGGACTGGAGGGAAGCATCTGTGAGCTGAGGAACAGTGCGGACCGATGGCCCCCACCAGAATGGGCAAGAATGGGGTCCCCTATAGGTTTCAGAGGGGGTGTGGCCCCGTGATACCTGGTGCCTGACATGGCTCCAGACCCTGAGGCACACGCTTCTGCTGCCGTGCTGTTCAGACGCTTCCTCGTGAATGACCACAGACGGCCAAACTCACACACAGGTGGGGCTGAGCCCCAAGGTGGCTGTGCTGGCAGGAGGCAGGACATGCACCTGTCTCTCCAGACCCTGGTCAGAGCTCGGGCCCGGGGCCAAGTCTCTAACAGCTCTGCTGGGCTGCACAGTGCGCACCGCTGACAACCCACCCAGGCGGGTGCGCGGGTCACTGGTGTCTGGTGTCCAGAGAACCGTGCGACCGCCACCACTTCAATCCTCCACCCACTTCTCAGAGGGCTCGTTCCTGGAACCCAGCCACAGATCGGTGTTGACACACTGCCCGCAGCTGCTGCTCCCCACTAGGCACATCTGAGGGTTGCAATAGAGAACTCACCGCTGGCAACCCCGGCACTTTCTGCCACCGGCCCCCCTGCCGGAAGGCCTCTGTCAGCCCCCTCCGGCATGCACCTCGTTGGCTCGGCCACGTGGGCTGTAATGATGGCGAGTGAGTGACTCACAGGGCATCTGCCCTGAGACCGGCTCCTCTACCCGAGATGGGCCGGCGGACCCACCTCGGCCAGCCGCACAGGCGCTGAAACGTGAGAGTGGGCAGAGGCCCTTCGAGCCGCTGGGGTCTATCCTCTGACAGCATGTCTGACCCTCTGCCTCACCCTGCTCGGTCTCCTTGGACCTTCACGCCAAGGTCCTACCAGTCAACCCTCCCTGTCCCCTCTGCCTGCCTGGACTGTCCCCTCCTCTGCCTGACTTTCCCCTCTGCCTGGACTGTCCCCTGCGCATACGGTTCCCCCTCTGCCTGGACCGTCTCCCCTCTGCCCGGACTGTCCCCTATGTCTAGACTACCCCTTCTCTGCCTGGACTGTCCCCTCCTCTGCGACTGCCCCCCCTCCGCCTGAACTGTCCCCTGTGCCTAGAATGTCCTTCCTCTGCCTGGACTGTCCCTTCCGCCCTGTCCCCCTCTCCCACAGCCAGCTCTTCCTCATCACTGTGAAATTTACTAAAGGAAACTTCACTCAAAAGGCATCAGGAGGCCAGCAGGTAGAGCTCAGACGCCACCACTGTCCTCAAGGGCAGACCCAACAGGGACCTCGCACTTGGATCCTACTTTAGCTACTACTTTGTTTCCCCAGAAGGAGGAAGGACAGTTTCCTCCCCCACCACCCCTGCCACAACCCAGCCAATGAGACGCTCACAACTCAGCAGTGAGAAGCCACTACGTTTGGAGCCCCCTGGCTTATTCCAAAGGACTTCTGATGTGTGTGAGGGGCTTCCCAGCGCCCCCTTGCTTCTATAAAAGAGAGTTCCTCCCCTTTGCTCTCCAGACTGGTCTGTGATTTGGCTGTAGCTTGTATGTCCCAAGCTGCATTTCCAGGCTATTCCCAAATAAACCCATTTTTGTTGGTAAAATAGCTGGAAGCTTTATTTTTAGGGTTAATACCACTCAGCACTCCACCACGGGTACCACCGAATGGCCCTTCCCGACCACGCAGTCCCCATCACATCCCCTCCACAGTTGAACTCCTATCACGTATGTCCTGCCGGTGTATTATACACGGCACGCATCTATCTTATTCACTGGAGTACATCTATCTTACTCACTGGAAGTGTTCCAGTGAATAAGACAGATGAATCTTATTCTTCCAGTGAATACCCTGTCCTAGGATAGCGCCCGGCACGCAGCAGGAAATAAATGCATGTTGAAAGTATGAATGAATATTAATGCACTGGCCCTCTGTAAACCCCACAGGCTGCTGCTCAGACACCACCAGGTAGGGACTTTTTCCTTTCTTTCTGTTTTTCTTTCCTGTGACTAACTTGCTTACCTCCAGGCTTCTAGAAAAAAAGCTCTTCATAAAGGGCCATGCAAGAATTAACCGACAGAATGGATCACCGCCAAAGCCATGAGTAAGGTGCAAGAAACCTACAGTCCGACGTTCCAAGAACCACCATGCGCCAAACGCGATGCCTATTTGCCACAACTTTGGGCCAGGGCTACCAGAAGCACAATCGCAGAGCAAGAAAAGTTCGGGCAGGACCCACCTTTACTAGCTCTACTTTTCTAAACAGCACGTCTCCAACCAACTGGCTCGCACACACACTCTCTCTTCCGGGGATCAAAGTTCCAGGTGAGTCACCTCCTACCTGTGTCCGATGCCAGATCACAGATGCCCTGGAATGGCCCAGCTTGTTCCGGCACGGTCCTTTATCGTAATGGATCAGGAGGAAGTCATCCTGGGAAGAGGAGAGAGAGCAGGGTGGATGGCAGGTTCCTCGAAGTTCAGCGAGTGAGTCCTGCCTGGGCCAAAGTAAGTGGGGGACAGGGGCGCAGGGTGGGGGGCACAGAGAAAGGGCTCACACCCACAGCACCGGGCTGCCTCCTGGGGACCTCCCTCCTCCATTCTCTCCCCGTGGCCTCCCCAACGGGACGTGGCCTCGGGCACTAGAGGGAGCCCTGCCCCAGATCTCTGGCTTTTGCAGGGGAGAGGCTCTCAGTGCAGTGGGGCTTGTGAACAAGTAGGTCAGAGGCCCCAGCTACTCCGCCAGCCACTCCCCGGCCTGGCTGTGTTTGATGCCCCCAGAGCTCGGCTGCCTTTACATCCTCCGGCCGGCCACCCGCCCGGCAGGATTACCCCCGGATTAGATGATTCTCTTGATCTCCGGTTCATCCTCCTCCATTAGTGCCGGGTTTCCCACCTGGGAAGTGCGGCTTCCTTTCAGCTCAGACCACGAAAACCTACTCATTCCTCAGCAGCAAGCAGCTCGGGAACCATCTGCCGCCTCCAACTCCTCCAGATGTCTGAAGTGAGTTCTGACCCACGGAAACATCCTGTTCCTGCCTCCCTCCGGGCGCTCTCACCTCCCACCCTCACCTCCCGTCTGATCGCTGTCAGGTTCTTGGGATGGGGACCCTCAGCCGGGGACAGTCTCTAACTATGTTCGGGGCTCAGCGCTCGGCCCCCAAATCCCGAGCCCGCGCCAAGTGAGCAGGAAGGGGCTTTGCACACAAAACCCTCCGCTCCCCCAACTCCCGCAGGAAATGCCGTTTCTCTCCTGTTGAACACGAAAAACAACAGCCCAGTAAACAGTGCAGAGGAGGGGCCCAGGGCCGCGTGCTCATTTAAACTGGGGGTGTAAAGAGCCGGCTTCCCCCTGAGAAAGGGATGAATGAGCACAGGGCCCCGGGTCTCGGAGAGGCCCCGAAGTCACTCTTCCGCGAGCCCCGCGGAGCCAGACATCAGCCGTGTGTGCCCGGCCCTTAAACCCAGCTCTGTCGGAACCGGACTGGGCGGCCGCCGTCCCCAGGCCCTCGGCTCATCCTGAGAACGACGCTGGCAGAAAATCTGGGGCTTTTCCGGGCCACCCTCGCAGTGCCAGAATGCACACCCACATCAGCAGACCCTGGCTTTTCTGGGGCAGCAGCAAGAAGCTTCTGCGGGAGTTGCCGTGCCAGTCTGCGGCTCCTGCCTCAGGGCCTCCACCGGTCCCCGCGACTGTGGAAGGAAGCCTAGGTACACGTGGACACAAAGCTTCTTCCAGCCGGTGCTTCATCTGCTGTGAAGCTACTCCTGACGGCGTCTGTCCACCGCGAAGCCCCCGCGCTTCCTTGAACTCTGAATTACGCCCTCCTTCATCCTGATATTAACTTACTCATACACTGAAATTAATGTTTCATTGCTATGTCTCATTTTCCCAGACGGACTATCATAAGGCCTTGTACCGGAGGCTCCTGAACAGCTTTTGAATTTGTTTTCTGAAATACAAAAAAAAAAAAAAAAAAAAAAACGGGGGGGGGGGGGGGGGGGGGGGGGGGGGGGGGGGCGATCACTAGCTCCTCAAGATCATGGACTCCGCCAGCCTCCTGGAGACAGCCTCCACCCCAGCCTCTGCTCAAAGGAGTCCAGTGGAGCCTGGACGCTGGGGGCCAGCTTCCGGAACAGAATGAAAAGCTTGTTCAAATAGGTCCTTTCTTACACCTGACTAAAGCACTCGAAGACGCTTTTACAAAACACACTTGATTTCATTGTGATGTTAAGCTTCCTGGCGAAGCCCTGGGGCAGAACCCCCCACCCCCACCCCAGGCCCTGCCAGGAATCCAGGTGTATTTTTGTGGGAGGCCAACATTTCCCTTACTATCCTTCAGGGAAGTTTCATTGAGCCCCTGGCTGGAAACAGAAACAATGGCACCTGAGCAGAAAGCTGCAATCATGGAGAGATTCAAGGATAAAAGTAAATCCCCCCCAGGCCTTTTGTGTCAAATTCGGGCTTGCACCAGTGGGTTCTCCCCCCAGACTGTTGTCTTTTAGAGACTGAAAGATCAAAGAGTAAAAACCATTAAATCTTCCCGGATTCCCCTTGAGAAAAGGAAGTACAATAAAACCTTGGATTGCAAGTCACTTGTTCTGGGAGCATCCCACGAAGACGAGCACACGTTTCTAATAAACTTTAACTTGATAAACCAGAGATGTCTTCCAATAGGAGACCTACGCGATGCCGAACATCACGTGATCACAACTGAGCCAATGGTTCTTGAAATTCACTCTGATATACAAATGCTTTGGATTACAAGCATGTTTCCAGAACAAATTCTGCTCGCAAACTAATTCCAACTCCCACAGACAGAACGCGTGTAGTAAATCAAATGAGTTTGGGGAGCCTGGGTGGCTCAGTTGGTTAAGCGGCCAATGTTGGCTCAGGTCATGATCTCACGGTTTGAGTTGGAGCCCCACGTCGGGCTCTGTGCTGAAAGCTCGGAGCCTGGAGCCTGCTTCTGATTCTGTCTCCCTCTCTCTCTAGCTCTCCCCCATTTGTGCTCTGTCTCTGTCTTTCAAAAATGAATGAATGTTAAAAAAAATTTTTAAATAAAATGGGTTTGTAGAACAAATTGCACAGGGTGGGCCATGTAACAATTACTTCAATAAAAACTATCCCCCCAAAAAATAAAAGGAAGAGAGTACATGTGTCCCTTTCAACTGTGTGGCGATGGCGGGGAGCAGGGGGAGCACGACCTGCACACCAGTGAGGGTCCGGGCCAGGTGCAGAGAGGAGAATAAGGCCCACAATGGAAGGAAGCAGCCTGATGTGATTTATAACTCCTCGACGTGTACATGTGCAAGAGGCTGTCTCGGGTGGAGAAGTTCCCGAGATGAGAAAGACCAGTAAAGTGCACTCCTGTCTTAGAAGCACTCCCGGCTTCCAGCCATGTGCTCATGCACTCGTCTTAAATCATGGTTATTGTCCCTGATCAATGGCCCCAGGGCAGACTCGCTTTCCTTGAGAATCTGCTTTCTAAGCCACAGGGTCATTTTTCAGCAGCTCTTCCTTTACAGAGACTAACAGGAAGCACTTGGCCAGGAGGATGATGACTCTCAAGGTGGAAACGGGCAGAGCCGTTCCTCTGTCATCAGTTCAGGCAGAGCCAGGAGGGTCCAGGCCTTCTGCACAGGGTGGGGGAACCCGGGCCTCAGAACGGAGTCAGACAGACAGAAAGACAGACAGACGGGGTGTTTCTCCAGGGACCAGAGCAGAGCCAACAGCTTTGTGTTCAACGGAGACCATTCCCTTTCTTGTAACTTCATCAAGGCAGCACAGTGATCTCCCCTCCCCACCCCCAACCGAAACTAAACCTGTTGTCAGCTCCTTTTCAATCCGTCCCCAGAAAAGTCTCCCAGGAGATTTGCTAACATGTAACACAACTGGCATTTCCCTTCCTTTCCCCTGTAGGAAAAGTTGCAAGGAGTGGCAAATTGAAGACCAGATACTAGATGATAACATCAGAATTTAAAAATCAGATTTCCCCCCAAATTGGATTATGGTAAAAATGCAAAATCATAGGCATAACGTAGAGAAAGGCCACATATAATTTTATATACATACAGTTGTAAGAACTTTAAGGCCCCAAGGACTTTGCGGCGCTTGAGACATCCTTCTAACATCTCTCCCCACCACGCAAGGTCATAGAACAAACTTGTTTGGATCTACGCTAAAGAAGATTAACCTTGCCAAACCGATTTATGAAACTTGCCTAGGATGAGAAAAGGAAGCCTCCAGGAGAGAAAACAGGTGATGACTCACTGAGATATGTTCAGCTACACACGGTTCTGCTGTACATTTCATAACTGAAAGTTAATAAAGGAACAGAAGCCTTTTCCAAAAAACAACACAAAAGCAATCTAATATTTTTAAAGATGGCCCTTAGGTTACAGATCTGTTACCTTCTTTAAGATTCCATCTCAAATATGCACGTATATTCCTGACAATCCGTAGGCCCGTCCTGAGGATGACAGGCAAACTCTCAAGGTAACTGACCACTCTCATGTAGCCCCTGAGAGGGACACTCACCCAGACCAGCAGAGTGATATCAGTTAGGGTAGCAGGGGCAGGCTGTGAGCAAATGAACTCCTAGCGATGGAAAGCAGGGGTGTGTGGCAACCCCTCCTCTCTTTCACTAGTTTTAGAAGAGTTGCACACAGTCATCCTTGCTGTCCAGGACATACATACACAAACACACAGGACACGGGACTTGATTTGCTTGGACTGTCACTGATCGTAATGATTTTAACAGATGATCATTTCTGGTACTTAATGATAGTTTGGGTTTTTTTTTTAATTTTTTTAATGTTTTATTTATTTTTGAGACAGAGAGAGACAGAGCATGAGCAGGGGAGGGGCAGAGAGAGAGGGAGACACAGAATCCGAAGCAGACTCCAGGCTCCGAGCCGTCAGCACAGAGCCCGACGCGGGGCTAGAACTCATGGAGTGTGAGACCATGACCTGAGCTGAAGGCAGACGCTCAACTGACTGAGCCACCCAGGCGCCCCTTAATTATAGTTTTAAAAACCTATGTACGGGGGCACCTGGGTGGCTCAGTGGGTTGAGTGGCCAACTCTTGGTTTCGGCTCAGGTCCTGATCTTGTGGTTCATGATTTCGCACCCTGAGTCGGGCTCTGAGCTGACAGTGTAGAGCCTGCTTAGGATTCTCTCTCCTTCGGTCTCCCTATCTCTGCCACTCTGCACACGCCCTCTCTCTCAAAATAAAATTAAAAAAAAATAAATAAAAACCTATGTACAAATAAACTCTTGTAAAACTAAAGTCAGAATGTCATCATTTTGGCAAGATGCCCAATCTCCTCATACGGTTGAAGAAGAACATCAAACTGAAATCAGTATCCTTTGCATCTGGCCTTGAAGCTCCAGAGAAAACCAGGTGCTTCGAGAGGGGAGGGTTGTGTGCTCTCGGTGGGGACTTAGCACATGCAGAGCTACTGGGGTACAGAGTGCTCGGGACACATTCAGCACAGGGCACACTTGGGAGAAGGTGGCCATATGAGGCTAGAAACTTCCATGCTGCCAGATGGCACAGAGTGTATGTTTTTCTGCCCTGTGGGTGACAGAAGGTCACTGAACTGTGCCACTGCCAACATGTTCCCCAGTGCCCTGCCTCTGTTTACCCTTCCTATTCCACTAACACTCCTGCTTTGGCCTGCGTGTTTGCATCCTCCCCTCCCCCTCAAATTCATACATTGAAGCCTGAATCCCCCACGTGATGGTGTCCAAAGGTGGCATCTTTGGGAGGTGATTAGATGGTTAGATGAGGTCACGAGACGGGTGGGTGCCCCAGGATGGGGTCAGTGCCCTTATTCAACGAGGAGACACCAATCTGTCTCTCTGCTACGTGAGGACACAGTGAGAAGGCGGCCGTCCATAAACCAGGAGGAGGGCTCTCTTGCCTCTCTGGGCACCGAGGGAGGTCAAGAGCCAGGAACCGAATCTGCTACTGGACTCCAGAATCAATGCCTGTTGTCCCAGCGCCCACTCTCTGGTGTTCAGTTACAGCAGACTGAGCCCAGATGGTCCCCGCAGACAAAACCAAAGACCTTGAGACCCCGCCCCCCACCTGCCCAGGCTCAATCCAAGGCTGAGCCACCCTTTTGCTTCTGGAACCCCTGCACGAATTGCCATCTTCTGGCACCACTGCACTGGGGGAATTAATATTTTCAGAAGCACAGAAAAACATCTGATAATGTTCTTTCGGCTTCCCCCGGGCACACTCTCTAAGCTCCTCAGGGCAGCAGGTGGGTTTCGCACCCAGAGGCTCTACTCACGTCCAGAGACTCGAGGCAGTACCAGCAGAAGGCGTGCTTGCAGTTCTTACACATCATCTGTGCGCACCCTTCGTCCCGCTCGATGTACACCTTGCACTTGGGGCACCGCTTGATGGGCGCGTCGTCCTCCTCCAGTTTGAAAGCAGAGCTGCGGGAGAGAGTCTGTCAGTGATCTGCTCAGCGGGGCCCGGGAAGGGGAGGGGAGGGGAGAGGCGTGGGCAGGGCCAGGCTGCAAGCTCTAGTTCAGCCAGAGGGGACGAGGCCCCTTCTCTTTTTTTTTTATTTTGTTTTAATATGAAATTTATTGTCAAATTGGTTCCCATACAACATCCAGTGCTCATCCCAATAGGTGCCCCCAGCGATGCCCATCACCCGCCCCCCCTGCTTATCAGATGTTACAGAGTGAAACCGATGAAGCTAACCCTCCAGAAAACAATCACCAAAGAAACTGTGGGTCAGCCAGTTGGGTTCAGCGGGGGAGGAAAAAGCAGTGTCAGGAGGCATTCACGTTTAGATATGTGTAGACTAACAAAAGAAATTATGGCAGGGCGCCTGGGTGGATCAGTCCTTAAGCACCCGACTTCGGCTCAGGTCCTGATCTCACGGTTCGTGGGTTCGAGCCCCACGTCAGGTTCTGTGCTGACAGCTTGGAGCCTGGAACCTGCCTTGGATTCTGTGTCTCCCTCTCTCTCTGTCCCTTCCCCGCTTGCTCTCTCTTGCTCTCAAAAATAAATAAACATTAAAACTTAAAAAAAAAATCTTTCTCTCTCTCCCCCACTCGCTCTCTCTCAAATAAAATAAAACATTAAAAATAAATACATAAAATTATAAAAAAAAAAAAAGAGAGAGAAACTATGGCAAAGGCCTATAATGACGGTGTCTGTGTAATGGGATTATGGTCAAATTGTATGTTCCTTATTCATGTATCTGTATAATTTCCAAAGGATCGATGACAATTTTTATACACTTTGCTATTATCAGAAAAAATGGTTACAGATACATGATCATCGTTTAATTAGATCTACTGGGCCTGTCTTGACAGAATCGCTTTCCTGGCAAGTCCGGTTGTCCTGAGGGGCTGGGGAGTCAGGTGGTTAGCGTGAGGGGCTGCAGGCCTGGGGTCACGTGCTGGCTCTCTGCAGACAAGCTCTCTGGGGTCACGTGTGGTGTAAGAGCCGCTCCAGGCCTCAGCCCTCCCAGCGTGCGCATGCTAGACAGTGACGCGTGACAGGAGCCCAGCATAGCACCAAGCATGGGTGAAGTGACCGATACATGAAAGCAACCATTCTATGCTAATAAAGACATGACACAGATGCGTCGGTGTGACGGTCCATCCCACGCTATTAAATTGAAAGGGAAGGCTAAACAAACATGCATGGAAACATCTGGAAGGATAAATGGTTAACTGCTACAAGAAGTTATCACGGGTCATGGCAACACGTTTGCCGCATTAGCTGAACCCGCTATATCAGACCAACACCGCCAGGGGAAAAATGATCTGCCCCTGGGACCGAGCAACCCTTCCGGAACCCCATGTGTTCATGAGCATACGTTCACTGAGAGTGGGCAAATTCTGGCATTTTGGGTGCGTTCTGGCTGGCGGATCTTCCACAGGCATCACAGTAAATGCAACGATCAAAAACGGTTTGACTTCAGTAGAGCTAATCTGATGATCAGTGGAGGCTCCTCGTCCGTGAGGCCTGGGCTCCAGCTGAACGCGGTTCTGTTCTGTTCACTAGCAGGTGACCAGGGAGGACATGCTGGGAGGAGGCAGGCTGTCGGTGAGGAGCCCCGGGTCTAGAGACACGTGAGTCCCGGCCCTGCCACTCGGGTATCACCAGTGTTAGTGTCCCCCTTCCACCACTAGAAACGAGGCTGGTGCCTCCCCATCGGAGGCTGTTGTGGAGCTCGAAAGGGTCTCCATGCGTGTAGTACATTCACACGGAACCCGGCACAGGGGTAGCAAGGCCCGCAGTAGGTGGCAGTGCTTGTTAAGCTGTCACCGAAAGATGACACTGTCTGTGGCTCAAACTCTTCTCTAAAGGGAAGGCAAAACGCCCCACAGGCTGGTTGCACACGTGACTTAGAATGAACCAGGGCGGTCACAGTCACAGGCGCGGGCGAGGTAACCCTGCGGGAGCCTCCGGCAGGACCGGACACGACGCGAGCCGGCCGCTCCTGAACGTGAATCTGGTTTCTGCAGAGAGCCAAAAAGTCACCAGATCCGTGACTGAAGCCGGCTATCAGCTTAGATAACACCGTTTCAGTTTGAAAGCCGGCAGTGACCTTCACGTCATGAAAACCAATCTTCTCACATGATTCATGAACGGGGAGGGGGCGTAACATCAGTGGAGAGTGAAGACCCTCTCTCAGGGAGACTTTTTAAAACGGAAACAGTTAGGGGTGCCGGGGGAGGGGGGGCTCGGTCAGTTGTGCGTCCAGCTCTTGATTTCGGCTCAGGTCATGATCTCACAGTTCATGAGATCGAGCCCGCACTGCACTGGGCTCTGTGCTGACAACACAGAAACTGCTTGGGATTCTCTCTCTCCCTCTCTGCCCTTCCCCTCTCCCACTCGCTCTCTCTCCAAATAAATAAACATTAAAAAAAAAAGACAGAGGCGCCTGGGTGGCTCGGTCAGTTGAGCCACTGACTCTTGGTTTCGGCTCAAGTCATGATCTCACAGGTCTGGGGATCGAGTCCCAAGTTGGTCTCTGTGCTGACAGTATGGAGCCTGCTTGGGATACTCTCTCTCTGCCCCTCCCCTGCTCAAGCTCAGTCTCTCTCTCTGTCTCTCAAAATAAATAAAAATAAACTAAAAAAAAAAAAAAAAATGGAAACAGTTAAAATATGTAAGCTCTGGTGTGTTGTGGCATGTATAGAAATTTACACGGTACGGACAATGGTTTTCAAACATATTTTGGCATTTGAATTATATCTCAAATTTCTATTAATGACAACTCTCACCAGAAATTCAAAGTTATGAAGGCAGATAGGAGCCCTTGACAGCTTCCTCATGATCTGCACGTTCTGATGTGTTTATGCGTTTATTTTTTTTTTAAGTTTATTCATCTGAGAGAGACACAGATAAAGCTGGGGAGGGGCAGAGAGAGGGAGAGAGAATCCCAAGCAGGCTCCATGCCCCCAGCATAGAGCCCGATGAGGGGCTCGAGCCCTCGAACCTTGAGATTGAGGAGAAAAACAAAGGCAAGAGAAATGTAGCTTAGATTAAATCTCCTTACAACTCACAGCCCACAGATAGAGCTGAAACATGCAGGTTCCTTGAGTCAGGCCAAGGAACTCATGGCTGCCTCACTTCCTTAATGTTTTTGTTTTACTAAAGACTAAAAGTAACCTTATCTTAACAGCAGCTACTCCAAGGTCCTGAAAGCCTTGCTTTCAAATTCCTTAGAGACTTACGCCATCCCTCACCCCAACCTCAAAGTATATAATCAGTCACGCCTCACAACCCCGGTGCAGCTCTGTCTGTCCACGGTCCTGTCCCCTCACCTTTTCGCACCAAAGACATCTCAAGAATTCTTTCTTAGCCGTTTGCTCAAGAACCCCATCAAGATCACGACCTGAGCTGAAATCTAGAGTCTAGAGTCGGACGCTTACCCGACTAAGCCACCCAGGCGCCCACGCATGTTCTGATGTCTTTAAGGGGTAGACAGGCCAACACAGCCGCTGACACCGGTCAAGCGGTGAAGGGAACGGGGGAAACAACCCTACCGCAATGAAAACAGCTGAGTGTACCTCAGTTACAAACGCCACCTGCCATCAGCCCCAGGGCCAGCGAGCAAGAGGGTGTGGTCAGGACTTCGCAGGCTAAAGACAGCACAAACCCCCTTCTAAAGAGCCGGCTGCTTCTGGGCTCCAGCGACTGCCAGGAATTGGGGATGCAGGATGGCTCAGTGTGGCTCTGCGAGCCAGAAATTCAGATTTTTTATGTGACATCTTTTGATGTTTACGTTTCCGCAAAATGAGACTGGTGGATTTGGATCTAAATTTCCCTGTGCCATTTTTTTTTTTTTTTTACTATGCAAAATGTGATATTTTTCACTTTTGTTTTTGTTCTTTGCGAGGTGTACAATGTGATGATTTAATACACGTGTACAGGGTGCAATGGCTGTCGCCCTCTCCAATGACCTGAAGAGACCAGAACATCACAGGTGAAGAAATACTAAGTCATCAGGCTCCCAACACTCACCAGCTTCAATCTGAAGGTTCTACGCTTAAGAAACATCACAATCACGGCTGGGTCCCTCCTCCACCCCACCCAGGATGGGGCATCAACTCTTTCTCACTCCCGATTTTCCTTCTTAACAGAATGTAGAAACCCATTCACTTACTGAGTTTCTCTCTCTCTCTCTCTCTTTTTTTAATTTTTTAAAACATTTATTTATTTATTTTGAGAGAGAGAAACAGAGAGACAGAATCCCAAGCCTGACGCGGGCTCCATCCCAGGAACCTTGAGATCATGACCTGAGCTGAAGTCAAGAATTGGATGCTTAACCGATCTACCCAGGTGCCCTGGGTGTTTTCTTTTAAACAGGTAACCGGGTTGCCCACCCGCCTCCTCCTTACCTGGTCCCCACCCTGGACACTCAGCTCTCCCAGCGATGTGCACTCTGACCACACAGAAGTGTGTTTCTTCTTGCAAAGTTACGAAACATTAAGAACCTAAAATACGAGGTAAGTGACTCGTTCGAGCATTTGAGTGCCTGCTGTATATGCCAAGATCTGCGGCGACGAGAGTTCAAACCAACACAGGCTGTGATGTCAGGAGCTCAGCCTCGTGGAGGAATCGGCCACGTAAACGGATGCCCCAGGGCACAGTCTGGCTGGCCTCGTAATCCAGGCAGGCCAATCTCCAGTGGGGGCACAGAGGGTGGGGTCACCAGCCCCACCCTGGGAGCTGGGCAGCCTGACAAAGGACGGACCTGAGCCGTGCCTTCCAGGGTGGCGAGTCGACTCCAGGTAAAGGAGGAGGGTGGCGAAGGGGCATCCAGACACAGGCGCAAACGTGCAGACTCGGGAGAGGAGGGCTGTGCCCGAGGGACAAGAAACAGTAGGTACTTTGTGCAGGTGGAGCTTCGAGGAGCGGGGGCGGGGCAGCAGAACAGGGAGAAGAAAACGGGGAGCAGCTGGTGACCACACGTTCGGGTGGATGGTGGGAGTCCCTCCGTCAAGAACGCAGCCTCAGCAGGCACAGGGCCCACGTGGTCTCGGTGAGCCATCTGTGCCACAGACCTTGCAGGCCAAAAATAGCTGAATATTACCAATTTCTTGTGATTCAGCCTCCTTAACTTCAAGGCACACACACTGATGCCACAGGGCCCACCTGATGGTCCGGCAGAGGGCCCGGCCAGCGGACGGAAGGGCCTAGACGCAGTCCTGCCGCCCCACGGCTTTCTGACCACCCCCTCTGCCAGGCAGACGTAACCTCTTGGTCTCGGGCACCTGGGAACCTCTTTTTGGGGATGCGTCTGGTACTTATAACCACGGCCCACCTACTCGGTTCCCGTTCCTGCCCCCATTCCTGATCCCGTTCCTGACAACAGAGTGTCGGAAAAACTTCAGGTATCACGGGTCATAAAGCCCGCAGTGAGTGCGGTTTGTGTCCTACAAACTTTACAGAGCCACTGCTTTGCTCGCTACCCGACATGTAATCGGTTCTCAAAAACAGTCAGCCGGGGCGCCTGGGTGGCTCAGTCAGTTAAGCATCTAACTCTTGATTTCAGCTCGGGTCATGATCTCATGGTCCGTGAGTTCCAGCCCACATCCGGCTCTGAGCTGACAGCATGGAACCTGCTTGGGATTCTCTCTCCCTCTCCTTGTCTCTTTACCCCTCCCCCACTTGCTCTCTCTCTCTCTCTCTCTCTCTCAAAATAAATAAACGAAAAAAAAGAAAAATCAACCAACCAACCATCCTGGGTTTAAATGAGGCTGAAGAACAGGGCACCTGGGCGGCTCAGTCGGTTGGGCATCCGCCTTCAGTTCAGGTCATGATCTCGCGGTTTGTGAGTTCGAGCCCCACGTCAGGCTCTGCGCTGACAGCTCGGAGCCTGGAGCCTGCTTCCGATTCTGTGTCTCCCTCTCTCGCTGCCCCTCCCCTACCCCTGCTCTGTCTCTCTTTCTCAATAACAAATAAACGTTAAAAAAAAATTATAAATGAGGCTGAAGAGGAAGAGACGGATGCAGATGGCAGTCGGATCTTCCGGAGACACATTTCGGGAGTCGTGTTCTTCCCTCCCCCCAGCCCCCGGCCCCCGGCCCCCAGCCCCGGCCCGTGCCTTCCACGGCCGCCCGTGAGGAATGTACCTGGTCTCTCCGGGAAGGAAAGTGATGGGCATGGTCTCCGGGCAGCCCTGGCCGGGGTGCCAGCTGGCTTTGCAGGCAGAACAGAATTCCACGTCACAGGCCTTGCACCGCACCAGCTGGGGTGTCTGCAGCCCCATATCCTGGAGCTGGCACACGGCCTGGCAGGTGGAAGTAGGGCACCAGGTCCGACAGGGGTCCAGCAGCACCTCTGGCACAAGGACAAAAACAGCCACGTCAGAGTCCGCACGCGAAGGATCTCATGGTATGTTCGGACTGAGGGATCTGGTCGGCGCAGGGCTGCGGGTCCGTAACGGGGTGGGAACGTCCGGACCACGTCCTCTGACATCCTATGCCCTTCGTGATCGGGTGCCTGTCTGGTTCTTTCTCCTCCCCTCCAGACACTGCCTGCTTATGCCCCCCCCCCCCCCCCCCCCCGCCCCACACAAAACACACTCAGAGTCCTTTAGAGATGCTGCTGTCTGAACCCGGGTGGTACCCGGGATGCCCCTGCCTGCGTTACATCCAGGAAGCCTTGCCCGACGGCGGGGCAGGATTTTCTCCGAGTGCCCACAGGCCACGGTCCAGGCAGGCCTTCTGCCCCCTCGTCTGCCTCCCCAGGACGCAGTTCTCTAAAGTCAGGCCCGTGTCTTCAGTCTTGCAGCCTCACCACCTCGCCTCGGGCGAGGCGCGCAGCAGGCGCTCGGACGGTGCCCAGTAAGGGGGACGGAGAGAGAGGAGGTAAGGAACGTGGCCAAATTCTTCTCCACAAACGGCCCGTTTGCCCAAGGCTGCCGCCCTTCCCAGATTTCAGTCTAAGCCGTGGGCTAACTACTGTGTGAAAGGGCCGGGTTTCCCATCCAAGTGGAGCCCAAACTGCTAAGAAGCCCCACTAAGGGAAGTTAGGGAGGAAGCGCGTTTTGAAAAACAGGATACCCTGACGTTCCCACTCATCCGTGTCCCGGTGCAGAACTGGCAAGTCTTTAAATCATCAGTCCCGAGCTGCCCCTGCCTCGTGAGCCTGGTCATTCGTCTCATTCAGCGCTTGTCTGGGGTGACACCGAATCCTCAGTGACGGGCAGCGGCCAGGACCCGACAGGAAACCGCACAGAATGCGAAGTCTCTTCCAGAAAGCTACCGCGGGCCAAAGGCTTACGGACTATTTTCAAAGGCCCTCAAGTAGGCCACTGGTTTCTAAGCTTTCCAGCAGTTGCTCTGGGGAAGTAACCCGAGACCGCCGAATTTTGCCAGGGAAACTTGGAAGGCAATGAAAGGCACTTGCAAGTCTCCTGGCCGTGTGACCCACCGACGGCCAGGGTGGGTGAAGCTCACCTGCGTGGAAAACGGGATCTGTGTGCACTAGGGATCTACCACAGCCTGGGGGGCTGGACGTGGGCTGGACGTGTGCCCAGACTTCACCTACACGGGCCGCCCCGGGACACACGTAGGCGGTGCCACGTTCCCCAACGAAACAGGGAAGCCGGATTCAGCCCTCTAGGAATAAGCTGCGTCAGGTACAACCCTGAAGGCTGTCTTCTATTCTGGGAACTGGCAAACGTTTTCTGCAGAGGAGTAGACAGTGAGTATTTTGGTCTTGGAGGGTCATGCGGTCTCTCTCCAAGCACTCAGCTCTGCTCCTGGGGCACAAAAGCAGCCATGTTGATCTGTAAATGAGGGTTCCAATAAAGCTTTATTTATAACGCCAGGCCATGGGCCCGGCCCCTCTGGCCAGCTGGCCATGGCTGGCCCACTCCTGCTCAAATGCAAGTCCTCCCCTGACCTGTTTTTCTGAAGGAGGAATTAATCGGGGGGGGGGGGCCCAGGAAACCATCACATTGGTAGGTCTAGGGGAAGATTTAGTAGAACCTATTAATATAAAGGAACTCTGGAATCCAGGAAAAAGTGCTGCTTTTTAACCGATTTCTGTTAGAGTAATGAAAAATCTTTATGATGTGCCTAATTGTGAGTGAATGAGTAAAATCAGCTCTTCTCATCAGTTGAGTTTCAGGGTTTGCTTTTTTAGGAAAGTTTGTGGCCGTCAGATCCCAGGTGGTGCCTCCAAGGCACATGTGTGCAGAGCCAGCCTCAGCTGATGGGATGGGAGAAAGGAGGAGGGAGCGAAGGCCCCACGGAGGTCCCCCCTGGGGAATTAAAGCTAGGCAGGTGACCCCTCGGCCCTCCCCCTGCCCGGCCTGATTCACGTCCTCATGTTTCTACACGGCTCTCTGCCTTGGGTGCTCGTGAGTGTGTTAGGGGAGCCCAGCTCCACCCCAACTAGATTCCGGGGTCCCCTACGGGCACGGCCCCTGAGGGAGGGCGACGCAGGATGGGGGCCCCCAGCACAGCAACCCCCACGTGACACGCAGAGAAATCCTCAGCCTGTTCTGTTTTCTTTCCAGATGGACCCCGTGGTTAGTGCTGATCTGAGAGCTTCGGTGAACACGCTGCCCTTATGCAGACCCCTCTGGTTCCCAGGACCCTCCTGCCCCTTCCTCTACTCTGGCTTCAGGGAGGGGCTGGCTCCCCACGCCGCCGGTGACCCCTCCTCATGCACCTATGGCTGTGCCCCATCCCCCCTCGCCCAGCAAACGGAGCTACGAGCCAGCCTCGTCCTCAAAGGCCCAATTCTATCATGGAGTGCAGGGTGAGCAGATCCAGCTAAGGTTTCCATGGCAATGACTTAAATTTTGAGACTTTTGTCCTCGTGGAGCTGTGACAGGCTCTCCCCTGTCCCCTGGGGAGAGATTCCCTATCAGAGAAGCAAAAGGGCAAATAATCTGTCCCAGCTGCCAAATGCAAACATCCTTCCCCTGCTGCCAGGGCACCACAAAACCTGTGAATATGGCCCCAGGGTTTTTGACTTGGACTTCTATTAATATTCCTCTCTTCACCCCCACTCCTGAATTTTGCCAGCTGGTGTAGAAGACAGGAATCGATCAATAAGAAAATCCACTGGGAAACACCAGAGCGCTATTCTTTTCAGGACGCACGTAGGTATACACATCTAGACCTGTCGATCACATACACGTATATATAAAGTACGTTACGCGTGTTGTATCTTGTATGTGTTATATCCAATATTTTACATAGACATTTCTATGTATAGCATATATTGTCAAACAAGGCAAGCAGCATATTTTTTGGCATACCAGAAGAAACCGATCTCAGCTCCCATCTCCCAAAGATACATGAATAACAGATTAGGGGCGCTTGGGTGGCTCAGTCGGTTGAGTGACTGACTTTGGCTCAGGTCATGATCTCACATTTTGTGAGTTCGAGCCCCGCGTCAGGCTCTGTGAGGACAGCTCAGAGCCCGGAGCCTGCTTCGGATTCTCTCTCTCTCTCTCTCTCTCTCTCTCTCTCTCTCTCTGCCCCTCCCCCGCTCGCACTCTTATCTCTCAAAAATAAACAAACGTTAAAAATATTTTAAAAAATAGATTAATGAAGCAGGTCCCTAATTGCTCTGTCTATAAAAAGCCCAAGACTTTTAAAAACGGCGCTTTTCTTTTTTAAACATGGTTTTCTCTGAGAAGCACACTACAAGAGGGGGCGTGCCTGGCGTCCCGTCCCTCACTAACACGGGCTTTCACGGCACCGCTGGCCAGGCTGGCCAACTGGCTACGACACGGAGGCAGTGAGTTCCATCCTGTGGGGATCCCTGGCTCTGGTCAGGCCTGATGACTGATGGGTGAGCCCAGCAAGTCGGTTCATCTCTCCGGGCTCTATTCTTGTTTAAAGCACCGACACAATGCTGGACAAGACGCCCCTCCAGCATGCATCTGACCCGCACGCGGCTGTCAGACGAACCCGGGAGGCTGCAGGCCCTGTCTCTGGGTGGCAGGGGCTTTGGGACAGAGGAACACGCAAACAAGCACCAGCAGCCCGGCCTGGCGGAGCTCAAACAGGAGCACAGGTACAGCGTCGTGGGGCATGCAAGCGAGGGAGTCTCCCAGAGAGCCTACCTCCACCAGCCTCTGGGGGCTTCCAGATGGGCAAGGGAGCACTCAGGGGAAAAAAACAGAGGCGCCCGCGTGGTTCAGTCAGTTAAGCGTCTGACTCGGTTTCAGCTCAGGTCATGACCTCACGGTTTGGGAGTTCGAGCCCTGCGTTGGGCTCTGTGCTAACAGTGTGGAGCCTGCTTGGGATTCTCTCTCTCCCTCTCTCTCTCTCTCTCTCTCTCTCTCTGCCCCTACTCCACTTGTGCTCTCTCTCTCAAAATAAATGAATAAACTTTAAGAAAGAAAGAGAAAAAGAAAGAAAGAAAGAAAGAAAGAAAGAAAGAAAGAAAGAAAGAGGGAGGGAGGGAAGGAGGGAGGGGGGGGGGGGGGGGAGGGAGGGAGGGAGGGAGGGAGGGAGGGAGGGAGGAAGGAAGGAAGGAAGGAAGGAAGGAAGGAAGGAAGGAAGGAAGGAAAAGAAGCCCCACAGCCTCCGGCTTGTCAGAAACCCAACTTGGAGGAGAGGGGGAGATCAGATTAAAATCAGGGTTGCTAGACTTGAAATTAATAAAACATGCTGTGTCGACCACACTTCAATTAAACAAGAGAGAGCAGAGCGATCAAGGCTGTTATATCAGATGAGTCATTCTAAGACCCGATGGAGACAATGTCTGCAACTTAAAGCCACCACAGAACTGTTCAGTAACTAACTGTTGTCAGAAGATCTGGGAACTGGGTTTTCTTCCAGGGTATCCTCCCTGGCTGCATTTCAAAAGGACAGAACAGGCTGAAACTTGCTCTATGATCCTACCTCAAAACTTGCTCAGTGCACTAACTGGAAGTAACAGCTTTACTTTTAGCTCTGACATCTTGTTTTTTAAGTTTATTTATTTGTTTTGAGAGAGAGACAGTGAATAAGACAGGCAGAGAAGGGCAGCAAGAGACAGAGAGAGAGGGGGGAGACGGGGAGAGAAAATCCCCAGCAGGCTCCACGATGTCACCAGAGAGCCTGACACGGGGCTCAAACTCACCAACATGAGATGAAGACCTGAGTTGAATTCAGACGCTTAACTGACTGAACCCCAGGCATCCGTCCCTCCCTTAGCTCTGACATCTTAATGCTTCATTCAGAAGGGTCTTTGGTCATACTGAGTCTGAGTTCACTTGGTGTTTTTGTGACTTTTCACATAATGCTAGCAAAATGTTCTAAAGTCATGGGTTTGAGAGATTCCATTAACCTAAGTCAAGCTGGCTTCCTTTTTATGCAAAGTTTTTATAAGAAAAAGTCTTTGACTAAACCAAAGCACTGGAAATTACAAAGTATTTGAAAGAACAAAGTCAAAATTATTAGGTAGGAAAATTTATCCAGCTGCATTTTTAAATTAAATTCCAGGCCAGGAAAGTTAATTCTCTTGTAACCCAAATAACTGCCAGTTTCTGTCAGGATTCTCTCCAGAAAATATTTTCAGGAGAGCCTGAAAGTCTCAGAAATCCGAATTCATCAATTTTATAGCTCCACATACTGACTCTTGTATCACATGGCATTACATTTAAGCTGTAAACCACCCCAAACTAAATGATATATGGCATTTAAATAAACAGGCTCTTGAAAACAATTTCAATGCCATCAAAATCCTGTTTGATTTTATTTTTTTTTTCAGTTGGCCACACACTGCCTTTTTTGTTTTCCAGAAGTAAGCCTCTAAAAGAAATGCAATCTTTTATCTTTAGCATTTCTTAAGGAAAAAAGAAGGGGGGGGGGGAAGGGGAGAAGGAGAAGGAGAAGGAGAAGGAGAAGGAGAAGGAGAAGGAGA